GGGTGGAGAGTAGGAAGTCAGACAGACAGGAAGAGGGGCGCAGCACATCCAGGTAGAACACGGCGGGGGGGAGGGGGCGGGCAGCAAGGGTTCAAGGGGACCGGTGTGGGGAAGTCTGTGGAACCCAAATGGGACAGCCCAAGGACCCAAGGCACAGCCCAGGGGTCAGCAGTGCCCCACAAGGGCAACCCAGGGTCCAGTGTCACAGTCTCCAGAGCTGGTGGCTGCCAACAGGAAGAGCTGAAGCGGTCGGTCCCCAGGATTCCAGGTACGGGGGTGGGGGCGGGGCGCAGGTTGCCAAGCCCGGGGCATGGAGGCCAGGAGCTCACCTTGAACGCAAAGTTCTCCCCAAAGTGTGGGTTGAGCGTCTGCCGATGCACCTTGGTCTCATGCCGCCGCCGCTTGTCTGGCAGCAGGTAGACACGCACATAGGGGTCGGAGGAGCCGCCCAGGTCCAAGGCTGCCAGGCCCTCGGCTTGCAGGATGCCCACCAGCAGCTGAAAAGTGACGAGGAGGCTCTAGTCTTAGCCTCCTTTTTGGCGCCTCCCCTGAGAAGGGGCTAGAACCCTCGGACCCTCCCCTCCACGCCATGCCTCTCCCCCACACCCACCTGTCCACTCTGGAAATCGTAATCGAGTGAGTACTGCAGTCGTCCTAGCTCGTGCTTCTCTGCCACCTGCGACCCTGGCCCAGACGGTGCTGGCTCCAGCTCCTCCACTTCCGGCTGCACCTTAGGGAGCCGGGGGCAAGGGCAGGTGAACTCTTCCCCCTGACAGTGGGATCCTCCACGCCCAGAAGCCAAGGGAGACTCACAGAACCCTCAGGCTACACCTGAGCACTTGCAGGGCAAGCGGAATCGGTGTTTGATTAATGATGTCTGGCAGAGGCAGGGAACAGTAAAGGCGTGATTCATGATGTCTGCTATGGGGCGGAACAGACATGGGGACACGTGCAGTGCGTCGTGCCTAGACTAGAAGAACAAGCACTCCTAGTGCCTCACTGCCTACAAGAAGGACGCAGAAGGTTCTACTTCACACGCTAAAGGAATATTGGGGTTGCTGTCGAACTTGACGTGTTGACTAGTGATGTTGCCACAGAAAAACATGGAGGAGAAATAGTATATTTAGCCTGTCCTGGCCATTCTGAACTGGAACAAGACTTCTTAACCTAAACTATCAATTTTCAAAATTCAGTGTGAATCAGAACTCTCCTGAGAAATCCGACTTCAGAGGTTCTGATTCAGCAGGTCCGGTGCAAGATCCAGAACTTGTGTTTCCACAAGTAACTGAGATGATTCTGATGTAGATGGTCTTTGGGCATCATTGGCTTAAGGGATAGGGACAGAGGGGTGGAGGCTGGCTCCCAGGACTCTAAAGGTCATGCGTCATGGGTGATAATTATAACAGATAACAGCCATTTGTTGACAAGGGAGGAGGGGAAACACGAGTTACAGACCACAAACTTGAGGCTCACAGAAGGACAGTGAATTTCCCTAGGTCACAGAGCTGGGGAATGGTTCCTCTCGGCTGGAAACCTAGGACAGCCTGGCTCCCAGGTGAGCATCATTTCACTCTGCACTCAGAGGCCTAATGCTCAGACCCTCACACCTGTTACCTTTCATTTTCGCTCCAAGGGCGTCTTTCAACTCATGTTTCTTTCATTCTCTCGAGACAGCCACACCAGCCTCCTCCCTGGCCTCTTTGCCTCAACTGTGTCCTCCACATGGGTTCTGGAGGAGTCATTCCAACACCCACGAGACCCTGTTCCTCACCTGCTCACAAATCTTCCATGGCTCCCAATTGCCCTTGTGACATGGATACTACTGAGCTCTTCAGACACTCACTCTGGAGTGCAGTATATTTACACTCTATGCTCCAGCACAGAGTGAAAAATGACTCGTGGTTCCTCAGATATGCCTCAGAATCTGGATTCCGGGCCTCAGCACATGCTGTTCCTTCTCTCTGTTCTTGGCTAACTCTGTGTGTTCCTTGGGTCTCAGCACAGAAGATGCCTCTACTAGGAAGCTTCCTTGGACTCTCTGGGTTACCAGGTGGTTTTTCTGCACTCCAGTATGCTCTGTGCTGCCCCTGATATGGCACATAACACCCTGAATTGTGAATGTCTGTGTGAGTGTCTGACTTCCCCACCAGGCTGGTTCTCATGAACAGTGACCGGCCCCGGCCCATCTCCAGGTCCCCAGCGTCCCAGTTAGGGCTAAACACACAGGGGACATGAGTGAATAAGATGGGCACAGGAGGTGGGGGGGAGCATGGACTGAGGCTGGGGGTGCAGGGAGAGGCAGGGCTGAGGGGCTGGGCCAGGCCACACACCTTGTCTATGTAACTCCGTCCCAGCTCCTTCACTTCCTGAAGGTGGACCTGGGCTTGGGCCTGAATCTTCTTGCCCGACCGCCTCCGACAACGCTTCCGGTAGAGGCAGAAACAGCAGCTGAAGACGAGCAGGGCTGAGACCAGAACGATTGTGGCCAGGGCCCAGGGGGGTACTGCAGAGGGCATGGAGACAACACTCAGTGAGGCCCTAGGAAGCAAGCTGGCTGATTCAGTCCGGGTTACATGTACAAGCCTTAATCCTGGCCAGGTTTTCCCTCCAGCCATTTCCATTCCAGTTTATTCCCGTGTTTTCCTTCCAACTGACCTCACCTATAAAGCGATTTGATGCCCTGATTCTAGGCTGACACCGTCCAGATTTTCTTGCCTGTTAACTGCACCTTCTCTTCCACCCCCTTTCTAATTTCTGCTCGACCCACTAATGCATTTAGAAGCCATGCCCCTCCCTGGCTTCAGTTTCCCTATCTTTGAAAGAAGGGAGAGGTGGGCCTTCCAATCCACAATCCAAGATCCCATTCCATTCCACACTTTCTGATCTGGTTCTCTATTTTCTTGCAAACCTGTCCCTCTTCCGTTTCACTCGAAGTCCAGAATTCCAACTACAATACCACCCGGATTTTCCAGTCCGCCAACGGAGGACACCCGTCCGAATCCCGCCCCTGAGAATCCTAGCCGGGCTTTCCCTCCACTCTGGCCCCGAGTCTCGCTCACCAGGGCCCTGGCCGATGCGACTCGAGTCCGGAGGCGTGTCGGGCGCTGGAGGCCCTGGGGTTGGGGGCTCCGGGAACATGGCGGCGGGGTCTCACGGTCCTTTCTGTGGAGGCACCCAAGAGCCCTAGCCCCCCACGCCCACCCCGTGCATTCATTGGCGCTTCCGAACAACGAAGAACTCCAACTCCCATCGGCACCCTGGGCGACCAGCGGCATAGGAATCGGCCAGCAGCCGCGAGGTATGCTGGGGGTTGTAGTGTCAGCCTCTCAGCGATGGGGGGCGGGCGCTGGCGTGGGCTCGAGGACCTAGTTCCATCCCAAAGGGATGCCCCCGCCCTCCAAGGCCCCCGAGGAATCCCGCCGACTTCTACCCCTTCGGTGCCAGGCTCCACCGGCGTGAACCGGAAGTGGGCGAAGGCGGGCGTGGGAACCGGAGACCTGGGTTGTCCCGAGCACCGGGTGGCTCGGCTCGGGCGGGGCAGGAGCAATGCTGGTTGCCCCTGGCAACGAGCTGTTGCCGAGACAACAGGCGGGGCTGACGTACAGATGCGGAATCCAGGCGCGGCCAGCTAGCTCTTCGCGCGGTCAGGACCCCAGCCCCGGACCCCCAGCCCCGGACCCCAGGCGGAGCGAGCTTGGGGAGACGGCAGCCTCGGCCGTCGCTCCCCGCGCCCACGGCTGGCTCCTCCCTCCACATCTGGCCCTGCGAGCCTCTCTCGCTCCTGCCGGGGGCTACCTGCTGCCACCGCCGGGGGTGGGGTGGGCTGGGGGCGCACATCTTCTCGGCCTGTCTGTCTCTCCCGCGCATCCCGAGCTCTGTGTTCACACCTGTTCTCATGACCATCTCTGCCTCCACACCTCTCCCTCCACTCCCGATTTCTGCCCATTCCCCCACCGGCCCCTCGCTGCCCCCCTATCTGCGTCTCTCTTGCCCTCGGCCTGTGGTCTGGTCTGTGTCCCGGGGTCTCCCACCCTCCCCCCTGCCTGCTCCTCCCTCCCCTCTGCTCTTTGTTTCCACACCTGTCTCTAAATCGCAGTCTCCCCGTTTCAGCCTTCAGCCCTCCCACTCCTGTCGGGCCCTCCCTAGTGTCCCCCACGCAACATGCCCTGTCTCTCTAGGGATGAGGATGAGCAGGGGCCTTAAGGAGGGGGTCCCAGAGGCTCCTACCTGCTCAGCGGCTGGACCGGACCCTCCCGGGAGACGCCCAGGAGCTGGCCCCGCCCGGGCCCCGCCCCCGCACGCACCCCGCCCCCGCACGCGGGCGGGTGGCGCTGTCCTGGGTGCTGATCACTGAGCCCGGTGGGGCGGGGGCGCGGCAGAGCTGTGTGTGTGTGTGTGTGTGTGTGTGTGTGTGTGTGTGTGTGTGCACGCGCGTGCGTATTAGGTCTCGGGTAGATGGAGAGCCCGTCCCTCCCCTTGTCCCGCCCCCAGCCAGGAGCCACCCTGGTGTGCCCAGGGTGCCCAGGGATATTCACCCTGGTCCCAGTGGATTTTCTGCTTTGTTGTCCAACTGTCTGGCATCTAGGCCCCCTGTGTCCACCCCTACCCCCACCAGGATGCCCTGTCCTAGGACCCCAGAGACTGTCTCGGGAGACCCAAGTACCCAAGTAGTCAGGTATCCAGACACAAGACTCAGAGTGAAAGTCTCTAGTGAATCAGCCCCAGACATCACCCCACCCTCTAGGATCTCCTAGCACCAGGCCCAGGAAGCAAGCCCCTATGCTCCTGGCTTCAGGAACCGGACAGACACTGGAACACAGTGTGGACCTCCAGCCCTCTCTAAGAGACTCAACCATCCAAACGCATTTTTTTTCGGGTGCAAAATTATGGGTCTCGCTTCTTCCCTAGGACATTTACCTCAGTGCTTAAACATCAGGAATCCAGCCCCACTCCCACCCCGATATTATTTCCAGACCCAGAAATCCACTATAGCAAGCATCTCTGGGGGAGAATAGTGATTTAATAAATTATGGGATAGAAGAAAAAGATATGTACACGCAGTGGGGTGCAGGGAAATCTCAGATCCCAGAAGACAGATTTGGCTTCTGGAAAAAAAAATGGGATGGATCCTGTCTGCCTCTGCACCAGGGGTAGCTAGAGTTCCAGACGCGAATTTCTTCCTTCCCCAGAATCCAGCAGCCTAGGCCTCCAGCCTCCTCCTCCCTCGAAGAACTAGGAAAGCCTAGCTCCTGTCCCTCCTCCTCCAAGGGACTAGGAATCCAGGATACCCGCGCCCACCTGCCCTCTGTCCTCCAGGGAAACAGTTTAGACACCAAGGCCTCCCCTCCTCCTGCAAGACTCAGGTGTCTGGGACCCCAGCCCTCTGCTCTCCCAGGGCTCCAGGAATCTGGGCTCAAGTGGAGATCCAGAGTCTGAGTCTCCACCGGGGTCTCAACTCTCTTGTGGCTTAGACATTCTCATACAGCGGGTTCACGTACGAAGCCCCTTTCTCTGCTGGGGCTAGGGGTGACTGCTGGAGACCCCGCAGGATGCACTGGTGCAGGAACACGTACTGGGCCTGGGGAGGAGCACGGGGTAGGGGGTGAGGGGTGCCCTTCTGAGCCTGGGCCTGCTTTCCCCCCAGGCCCCACCCCCACCCCCCTGTGCCCTCGGGAACCCCATCACCTCAGTCTGTAGCATGAGAGGCCTGCTCTCCCTCATCTTCCGCACGTAGCTGAAGGCTCCCACAAAACGCTCACGCTCCAGCTGCCGCAGCAGGACGTCCAGGGCAATGAAGGTGCCTGTGCGGCCCACGCCAGCACTAGGCAGGAACAAGAAGGGGTCAGGTCACAGGAAGGGGGAGTCTTGGCTGATTGGAGGGATCTATTTTTGGAGCATCCGGGATCAGAGTATATTATTCAGCAAGATAGCATTCTGGGGGGATACCGTGTAAGTGGTAAAAGCCACTGTGTGTGACTCTGCCTGGAGCTCCTTCTGTCTGCCTGGCCCTGCCTCCAATGCCCTATGCGCCCTTGTCACTTTTCCCAAGCCCGAGAAGTAGGAGCTAACAGCACACCCATTTTACAGATGGAGAAATGGAGGCCGAGAGCAGTGAGGTCGCTTGTCTGTCCCAGGTCACTCTGGAGCTCACACACGAGAAAAAGGAACTCCCAACCTGACCATTCAAAAATATTTTTTAAACATAAACCCATTTTAAAGTAAACAGTTCAGTGCCATTTAGTACATTCGCGACGTTGTGTGACCACATCTAATTAGTTCCCAGACACTTTCGTCCCCCCAGAAGGAGACCCTGTACCCGCTAAGCAGTCGCTCCCCACTCTCCGCTCTCCCCAGCCCCTGGTGACCATCAATCTGGCTCTGTGGGCTTACCTATTCTGGACATCTCCCATAAACGGGATCCTACTACATGTGACCTGTCGTGTCTGGCTCATTTCACTCAGCACCGTGTTATCAAGGGTCTTCCACATGGTGGAATGAACCAGTGCTTCGATCCTTTTTCCGGTTCAAATCAATCGTCTTAACCATTACGCAGGAGTCCCTTTTGTGCTTGGGGGAGGGGATGACCCCCTGCTGGGGACACCTCCAGGGGGTGCTATCCTGGGACACGGCGGCAGCAGAGAATGTAAGAGTGCCACCACAGGCATCAGCTTGACCCCTTACGCCTTGAACCCAAGACGTTCACTTTCTGACTGGGTTTCCCCAGCGCTGTAATGGGGAGGAAACCCTTTTGGTCATGCCCTGAGGACTAGCAAGACTGTGACTGTGGAGTTTCCATCACGTCACTGGCGGTACGTGCTCCCTGAATGCGACTGTCACTGTAACCAGAGCCCCCATTTCAGAGGCTGTCGGCCACTCTGGAGCAAGCCCCTTTTCGTCCCCCCCCCCACCCGCCCATAACCTCCTCTCCAGTCTTCAGTATCGATGACAGGAGAGTGATGGGCGGGATGAGGTTCCCGGCGTGCACTGGAGGTGTTTCAAATGTTTCTCAAAACCTTTGACTGTTTCTCTCTCTTGCCCCTCACCCCTTCCTCCCTTCTCTCCACCGACGCATTCCCCTCCTCCTCTCTTCCATCTCCTGTAGAAGGTTCTGGTTCCTGAAACCAGCAGGGGCCGTTCTCTTAGAGCCAGCGGGTCCTCACCTGCAGTGCACAATGGGGGGGCCTCCCTCCACGGTCTGGTCCAGCCACTGCCGGACCATCTTCCGGAAGGCCAGCAAGGGGTCTGGGGAGTGGGGGACGCCGTGGTCTGGCCAGGTCATGTAGTGGAACTGACGTACACGTAGTGTCTTCTGCTCTTGGATCTAGGGAGAGGGAGGGGAGGCTGGGGAGGGAGCGCTCAGCACCCCAGGGTGGGCTGGTTTCTGACTGGTGGGGGGCATCCCTGGGCACACTGTGGTCCCCTGAGACAGTGACGCAAGTCTAGGCTTCAGGAGGGGTTCTGAGGAGTCGACTGCCCAGAATGTTCTGGGGTAGGGAGCGAGGGTCGGGGTGGGGCTGGCAGGGTGGAGCAGACTTACGTGCCTGACCCTCAGGTCTCGTACTGTCCAGTTCTCCAGCACCTTCTCACCCTCCAGGGCCACTTGTAGGTGCCCATATGTGCATGGCTGGGCGTCTAGAGGCCAGTAGTACTCACACTTCACCTGGGGGACGACTGAGAGGTCAGAGAACCTGTCCTGATGCCCGTCTACACCGGGGCTCTTGTACTCAGTGCCTGGTGATGAGGCGAGACCTACCGGCAGCCAGGTATAGACTCATCCCAGCCAGGAGGACCCCTCCTTCTCAAGGCCACTGGGTTATACGGACCAATGGATGGGCCGAGGGTACTGGAGGAGGTTGGGGTCACATGGGAGGTCAAGGCTCAACACCTAGACCCTGCGGATCCCTCACCCGGCCGGACTCCACACAGTTGGTCAGCATGACCAGGACGCGGCTCTGCTGCTCCCACACCAGACGCCAGAAGTCAGCCACCGTCTGGGGCAGGGGGCCCTGGGCTGCAATGAACTCGCGGGGGCCCCAGAGACCCTGATGGGAGAAAACAGGCAAGTCACAACCCCCTCCAGTCCTTCTCTGCTCAGCTTTGCTCAACGCCCTCCCGGTTCGCAGCCACAACCTTACAGGTATGAAGCTGGCGTTGATGTAGTCGGAGCCTGGTTCCTCCTGGTGGGGCTTCAGGGACACCCGGGACCAGTCGTCTAGAGGAAGAGGCCAGCATTAGTGAAGCAGAGACAGGCGTGGGAGACCCAGGAAGGTATGGAGACAAGACTGAGACCCAGGGACTGAGGGCACACAGGCTCTGGGAGCCCTAAGAAGGGTGGATTGACTTCAGCAGGGAGGAATGGGCCGGCTGCCCTCCTCACAGTGGGTAAGAGCTTTGTGTCCCATAGGGAATAAGGGAAGGGGCCAGGGATGGGGTATTGACAAAGTCACAGCCAGGGGTAAAGTCAGCAGAGGCCTTAAGACTCACAGGGCAGCACATTTCGGTAACGGTTCTTGGCACTGTTTTCGAGGGCTGAGGCCACCATTTGAGACTGCTTGGTGCCCTCCAGAGCCAATTGCTGCGGGCAGAGGCAGAGAGGGGGGGGGGAGCATGGACCCTGGAGTCTCTCCATCTTCCCCGGAGGACACCCCCGTTCAGCACCGCCCCACTCACCCCCGCGCCCTGGAATTCTGTAGCACCCGCAGAAACGTGTGCCATCACCCCGCAGGGCACTGGGGAGGCTTGGGGGGCAGTGGGGACCAGAGAGGTAGGCGACAGAAGACACAACACGGGGAAACCAACGTGTTTCCTTAGGGCTGACCCGAGGGCGCGTAACGGTGTCACAGGCGAAAACATAATTGTGCCTGAATTTTTTTTGCATGCGCAAAGAAAGGTGTGGCGAGGTCTGGGGTGGGCACGCGGGGCTCAGCTCAGCCCCTCGCTCGTCACCACACCTGGTACTCCACTGCGAAGCCACTGTTGTCATCCTTCTCGTTCTTCCTCACGTGGGCAGCAAATTCTTGTGCCGGGATGTTCTCCAGGAGGCTGTGGGAAAAGGGCAGAGTTTAACTTCCCTTGGCCCTGTGATCTTGGGATAAAAGAAAGGGCTTTTTTTTTTTTTAAGTTTATTTTTATCTATTTTGAAAGGCAGAGAGCAAGTGGGGGAGGGGCAGAGAGAGAGACAGAAGCCCAAGCAGGCTCTGAGCTGTCAGCAGAGTCCACCATGGGGCTTGAACTCACAAACCGTGAGATCATGACCTGAGCTGAAGTCACTGAGCCACCCAGACACCCCTGGGCCTTTTTTTTTTGGGGGGGGGGTCACTCTTTATTTCTTTTGACCCCCTTCTCCCGACTCAACTACCCTCCACCCTCTGCCTCGGGCAACCAATATCTGTTCTCAGGTTCTATCAATTCAGTGTTTTAAATTTTTTTCAAATATGGGGCACTTGGGTAGCTCAGTCAGTTAAGCATCAGACTTAACTTCGTCAGACTTGATTTCGGCTCAGGTCATGATCTCCCAGTTCAGGAGATCGAGCCCTGCTGACAGTACAGAGCCTGCTTGGGATTCTCTCTCTCACCCCTCCCTCTCTGCCCCTGCCCTGCTCACTCTCTCTGTGTGTCTCTTTCAAAATAAATAAATAAACATTAAAAAAAAAAAAAAAGGCAGGACATTGGGACACAGGCCACATCATGGGTGAATCTGGGGAACATTATGCTAGCTCAGATAAGCCAGTCACAGAAGGACCAAGACTATGTGAATCCACTTCTGTGAGGTAGGTCCCTAGAGGAGTCAAATCCACAGAGACAGAGAGCAGACCGGGCGGGGCACCAGGGCCTGATGGAGGCGGAGGGGGGATCCTGTTCAATGGGGACAGAGTTTGGGTTTTGCAAGATGAAAAAGTTCTGGAGACAGACGGTGGGGACGGCTGCACAGCAGTGGGAATGTGGGGGCGCCTGGGTAGCTCCGTCGGTTCAGCGTGAGCTCGTGAGTTCGAGTCTCGCTTCGGGCTCTGTGCTGACGGCTCAGAGCCTGGAGCCTGCTTCTGATTCTGTGTCTCCCTCTCTCTCTGCCCCTCCCCTGCTGGCTGTCTCTCTCTCAAAAGTAAATAAACATTAAAAAAAATTTTTTTTTAAAAAGTCTTTGACCTCACGCAGCTCCAGCTCCTTCTTGCTCGTCCTCTTGTAAGACAGCTTTATAAACACTGTCTTGACCCAGTTCGGAGGCCGGGGGCTAGAGGCCAGTCCGGCCCCCTTCTTGAGCAGTGGTCAAGCCCACACGCCCACCACCTCGTGCATGTGGCTCTCACACGCTGAGCCACTATGCACCTGCCCTCGGCCCTCAGGCCCGGGTGCCTGACAACCAGAGGCAGCCCTTACACCCCGGAGCTCGCCCAAATCATTGCACTGGCCTCGAGCTACCCATTCCTTCCCACGGAAACCATAACTAAGGCTCTTGCCCACCATTGTCCCCACCTCCCCTGCCTCCTGACTGAGACTGTGTGACTTACTGAGGACTCCCCTCTTGGGATCTGTTGCCTTTATCACACCTAAGCAACAACACAGCCTGTGCACGTTTAAACTGCTCACACACACCAGTTTTCTCTGCTTCTTTTCTCCACATCACCAATGCCTGGTGTCTGCAGCACCACTCCACAGGGGAGTGACCCCTTTCCCCAAAGTCCCCCTATCCTATTTGCCTCCTTATCTCCAATTCTTTTTTTTTTTTAATTTTTTTAATGTTTACTTATTTTTGAGAGAGAGAGACAGAGCATGAGTGGGAGAGGAGCAGAGTGAGAGGGAGACACAGAATCGGAAGCAGGCTCCAGGCTCCGAGCTGTCAGCACAGAGTCCGACGCGGGGCTCGAACCCTCGAACTGGGAGATCATGACCTGAGCCGAAGTCAGATGGACGCTCAACCCACTGAGGCACCCAGGTGCCCCTCCTTATCTCCAGTTCTTTTTTTTTTTTTCCAACGTTTTTTATTTATTTTTGGGACAGAGAGAGACAGAGCATGAATGGGGGAGGGGCAGAGAGAGAGGGAGACACAGAATCAGAAACAGGCTCCAGGCTCCGAGCCATCAGCCCAGAGCCTGACGCGGGGCTCGAACTCACAGACCGCGAGATCGTGACCTGGCTGAAGTCGGACGCTTAACCGACTGCGCCACCCAGGCGCCCCCTTATCTCCAGTTCTAAGGGCCGCCTCTCAGTCCATCCTTGGAGGGACGGCTCAGCAGCATTTAGTTCTGCTCCTGGACCCGCTTCCCCCACGTGACACTCTGGTGCCACTCTGCTCAGTCGCCGAGATACCCAACATTCTCTAAACGCTCCAAGCATGCTCCTGCCCCAGGGCCTTTGCACCTGCTGGTCCCTCTTCCTGGAACGCCATTTCCCAAGATGTGCACATGAGTCTGTGCACAAATGACTTCCTCTTAGTCATCTTCTTGGTATGGCTTTATCTGGACAATTTTCTACAATTTTCTCTAATTTTAACACCCTATCTTAAATATTCTTCTACCTTTTCTGGGGCGCCTGGGTGGCTCAGGAGTTTAAGTGTCCAACTCTTGCTTTCAGCTCAGGTCACGATCTCACGGTTGGGAGATGGAACCCCGCGTTGGGCTCTGTGCTGGGCATGAAACCTGCTCGAGGTTCTCTCTCTCACTCTCACTCTCTTGCTCTCTCTGCCCCTCCCCCCGCTTGCACTCTCTCTCAAAAACAAAAGGAAAAAATAATAAGATAAAATCGGCTTCTACCTTTTCTATCGCCACTTCTTGCTCTACTGCCCCCTGTATCACAACCTCTATTATCTTCTTTATTAATGATTTTTTTGTGCTCGATTGTAAGCTTCACGAAGGCAGGAATCTTTGTTTTTCTCACGGTGTCCTCTGTGCCTAGAACAGTGCCTGACACATGACACACGTGCTGAGTGAATCTTTTGTTGGAGGCACATAATCCCAGAGCTGGAGTTGGTTCCAGAGCCCCTGGCCCAGGCCGGAGGGGGGCGATGAAAGGCTTGTGATCCTTGGGGCAGAGAGCATTGCGTGTCGGGGTTCACTGAGCCCACCCGTTGACCTATCCGGTGACCGGCAAGCACCCCTCGATTTGACCTGACAGTGCTTCTTCCAGATGCTTCTCCAACACTTTCTGCTTACCTGGAGCCCAGAACCTTGGGTGCCGGTTTCCTCTGGCTCTTCTTGTGCCTGGGAAAGAGACATTGGAACAGAAGGCTTGGGGGGGGGGGGTCAGGCCGGAACAGGGATCCTCACCCTCTCCCTGCCACCCCGTCCCCACCCGAAGACGGCCAGTCAGCCCTGTGACGAGTCCCACCTCTTCTTCAGGAAGAAAATCAGCAGGCCCACCAGGATGAGAAACAGGACCACACCGACGATGGCTCCGGCGATGACCCCTGGGTTAGGAAGTACGGGGACCGTTGGAGTCCGCCTCTCCCACTGGCAACCTGTCTCTCCTACGTCTGTGCTCACCCAGACTGTGACCGGAGGGCTGACAGGGCAGATGTGAGGGCAGAGAAAGGAGAGGAGAAGGCCTCTGGATAGAGCCCCACCTCCCACCCAACTTTCCCGAGGAGCCTGGTCCGAAGATATCATTTGCTCAGGTAGCCTGGCTGCCAGACTGCCTCTTCCCCTCCTTGGCCCAGATTAACGATTCTCGGCGTGGGCGATTCTGTCACCGATGTCTGGGGACATTCTGGGTTGGCACCATGGGAGTGGTGCTGCACTGGCGTCCAGCAGGCAGGGGTCAGGGGCACCGCTCAACATCCTACAATGTACAGGACGGCCCCCACAGCAAAGGACGATCCATCCCCAAATGTCGGTAGGGTCAAGATTGAGAAACCACCTTGACGGCATTGATGCCTCCCACCAGAACAGAGACTCGTGTTCTCAGAGGTTCTGGTTGCTAGCAGAAGGGCACCCCTGCAGTGGTGGTGCCCACGGTCTTGGCCCCAGGCTCTAATGGGCACAGATCCCTCAGGGTCTGCCCTTAGACATCCGGTCTTGGAGCAGACTCCAGCCCACAGCCTGCCTCCATCAGCTGCCGTGGCCCCAGGATGCAGCTTCCCAACAGCCCTGGTTACGAGGACCTGTCAACAGGCTCTAGAAGGGTCTCACACAGCCCATTCCCCTAATGGACCTGGTCCCCATGGACACAGGCATCTTTCCTCTCCTTTCCAGAGACCCTCTTTGCTGCTAAGCAAGAGACGTTCCTGGGCAGCAGGAACCAGAGAAGCCCAGTTGGGCATCTATCTATCATTGCCCAACCTGCCATCTCTCTCCAGATAAAAGACGCCATCTTATAAGAGGTCCTGACTCATAGAAGGTGACAGATGGGGCCCAGTGAAGCTTATGGCCACCATCAAAGGTATGTGATCAGAGTTTTAGTAAGTATGAGGCCCAAACCTCTCCCAAATACGCCACCGACGAGTGGAAGATGGTGCAGGCGTGTTGGGGAAAAAAAGTTTGGCACTTCTCCAGAAGATAAACACAGAGTTAAGTACTTGATCCCACAACTCCATTCCTGGGGATATACCCACGAGAAAGAAAGTTCCTTTCTGCACAGGAATGGGTACATGAATGTCCATAGCACCATTACTCGTAATAGCCAAAGACTGGAGACCACCCAACGGACCCATCCACAGACGAACGGATAAACGAAATGTGGTCTCTGCATACAGTGGAATATTATTTAACAATAAAAGGCAATGAAGCACCGATACGTGCTACAACATTGATGGACCTTAGAAATGGTACAGCAGGTGAGAGAAGCCGGCCACCAAAGACTGATGACACACATCACAGAAGGATGATGATATTTTTAGGAGACGTCCAAAACAAGCAAATCTATAGAGACAGAAGATAAATTTGAGATTACCGAGGCCAGGTTGGTGGGGAAGTGAGGAAATTAGGGGCTGATGGTGTAAGGAGGTGATTTTTCTTTAGTGAGTAATGAAAATAGTGTAAGAGTGAAGGGTTGGCCAAGTCCTGTGGGTGCAGTGAAGCCATTAGCTGTACACTGTCAGTGGGTGAATTGTATGGTATGTGAATTATATCTCAAGAAAGCGGTTTTGAAGAAAGCAGCAAAGAAAGCAAACAGGGAAACACCAAGGACCCCTTGTGTAGGTAAGACTCCTTCACAACAGAGCCCGATGGGATCTAGAGAGCCTTTCACCGTAGCTCTGTCCCCGTGGGGATCTGCTTACCTGCATTCTCCGTGTGGCAGGTCACAGGGGCAGACGGGGCCCTCATTCCATCCCAGATGGTGGTGACGGTGGCTGGGTAAGACTGAGCTGGCCGGAGATCCCACACAGACACGCCCCTCCCACAGGACGATCCATTCTGGAAGCCCCGCTGTCCACCCACCTGCAACTCAAAGGCCTCGTAGCCTCCCACGGGGCAGGACCAGGTCAAGATGACCCCGTGGCCCCCAGAGGTGCTGACGCAGGAGGTGATGGTGACTGGGCTCGGGGCTGGGTGGAGGGGACAGGAGGAGTCAGTAGGAGCCATACAGGGTGCCTTTCCATCTCCCCACCCTACCCCCACTTCCCGCCGCTGGTGCCAATTCTCTGAGAACTAGCACATCCTTTCCCTCCCAAAACCAAAACACCTCTCTTCAGCTCTCACTCTCTGCCCTCCCCCAACGGACACGCAACAGATCCCTTCGGACTACCACTCCCATGAGGCCTTGGGCTCTCTGTATCACTGCAGCTTAGCAAGGCATGACCCCATGGCCTGATGGGATTTGGAGTCCACTCCCCTCCCATCGCCCCAAGGTCCAACCTCAGCTCCCACAAAGTAGAAGGGGGCCCATCTCACCTGTGGATGCAAGGAGGCTCTGCGCATAACTGGTCACCTTGTTCCTGTCTGCCCACACACTGAAGGTGTACAGAGTCCCGGGTTCCAGGGTCTGCACCTCATACCAACTGTCATTGGTCCTGCCTGTGTGGTTGGTCTGATGTCCCTGGGGGTCTTGCTGTCCCTGGGGATGTCCCCCAGGGGTCCACTGGACCCAGTACGTGTAGAGCTGAGAGTGAGGGTCTGTGGGGACCTTCCACCGCAGGATGATTGAGTTGCTCGTCTGGTTTTCCTTGTGTAGATCCATGACTGTGTTGGGAGCTGAGGAGGGAGGACAGGAGGTCAAGGGGGCGGGTGTATCCTCAAGGACCCTCCCGCCTGAGCCTGCCCACCTCCCCTGACCCCTCAGTCACCAGACGAGTCCACTTCCTAAGAAGAGTGAACCGCAGAAAAGAGGCCAGGTGGGGACCAGGATCACCGGGGCCCTCTCTGTCCTGAGTCTATCGCCCTGGGTCCTACGCATCACCTTTCTCAGGTGAGCAGACCGAGGCAGGGTCCTTCCTTACTTCCGGGCCCTTCTTTCTTTTTTTTTTTTTTTAATTTTTTTTTTAACGTTTTATTTATTTTTGAGACAGAGAGAGACAGAGCATGAACGGGGCAGGGGCAGAGAGAGAGGGAGACACAGAATCGGAAACAGGCTCCAGGCTCTGAGCCATCAGGCCAGAGCCCGACGCGGGGCTCGAACTCACGGACCGCGAGATCGTGACCCGGCTGAAGTCGGACGCTCAACCGACTGCGCCACCCAGGCGCCCCCGGGCCCTTCTTTCTTGACGGAGCTGTTGTCTTTAGTCTTCTTAGCCCAAATAGCCGAAGACTAAACAGTTCCAGGCTCCATGCACACACAGTGAACCTAGTTCCTGGGGGTAATTTTGGCTCCTGTCACACTTGGAACCCTTCACATATAGGCTGAGAGCTGGGTTGCTTGGGGTTCAGCTAGTATACTGGGATGAGCCGTGTCCTTCTGTCTTCTGGCTTTGCTGGTTCCTGAGGGGTGGTGCTGGATGGTCAGGGGCTCTCTTCATCCCCAAAGACAGACCTCGCAATTAGAAAGTTCTGGCTGCAGAGGACGGACTCTTCCTAGAAGGCAGACTTACAAGCTCAAGGTTCTATGAGGCTACATGGGGTCACCAAAGTCTCCCCAACCCTCTCTCTCTCTCCCATCCCAATAGTACTGGCTCTGTCTAGAACCAGCGCGAGTCTCACCAGTGGCTCCAGTGAGTGTCCGGTTGTCACTGCTGACCTCATTCCTCTCTGCCCAGACGGTGATGATGTACAAGCTCCCAGCTTCCAGTTCTGTTAGTATGATCCCCGTATCTGTGGTGTTCCGGATGCTCATGGCGCTGGTGCTCTCCTTGACCCATGAGACCCCGTAGGTGTAGAGAGGATGATATGGGTCCGGGGGAGCTGTCCAGCTCAAGGTGATGGAGCTGTTGGTCTGCTTCTGCACACTGAGGCTCGTCACTGCGTTGGGGACTGGCAGAAGGAACAGAGGGTCAGAATATCCTCTCCCTGGTCCACGAGAGTCCAAAACACACGGACGGACCTCCTCCTGGGGCAGCCAGCCTTGTTAAAGAGCATTTCTAGACAGGGAACCTGGGCGTAGGGACGGGACACCTGCATCCTTATGCTCAGCCGCAGACTCCCAGACAGGCCCGTCCCCAGAAAAGGCCACCTCTCTCCTGTGGACTCAGGATTTGGGCACGGCTTGGCGAGACTGTAAAGATGGTGGCTGGATCCCAGAACCCAAAGGTGGTGCCACCTGTGCTGGTTCTTCAGCTCTCACCAAAAGAGAGAGTGGCATTGATGTTTGTCATTGGGGGGCTTACTGGGGTTCTTGTCTGGAACCAGCACAGAATTCATTCTTTTCTGCCCACACAGAGAGAATTTATACAAGGTCCCAGTTTTGGGTCCCTCTACCGTGAAACTGAAGTTTTGGATAAGTGTTGGGTCTCAGTTCTGTCTCCCTCTCCAGTTCAGTGGACCCAATAAATGTAGTCCCAAAGGCCAGGGCCCAGGGGGCACCTGCCAATCTGAGTGATGGAGTTGATGGCCTGAGCTTCCATTCTCAAGACCGTGATACAGTTGGGAACCAGGAGAAGAGTCGGAGGGTCAGAGTGTCCACATTCCATGGTACCTAATGTCCCCACAGTTGAGGCAACGTGCCTGTGCTCCCTACACAGTCTTGGTGGCTAAGGAGAGACACCCCCTAGTCTTAATGTCTGTATTCTAGAGGGTCCCAGACCCTGACTGATCCCAGCTCAGAACCTGTGATGTTCTTTCTTCAACTCCTGGTCAATGTGACCCAAAGAGATGCTCAAAAATAAATAAACGTTTTTTTTTTAATTTTTTTGTAACGTTTATTTATTTTTGAGACAGAGAGAGACAGAGCATGAACGGGGGAGGGTCAGAGAGAGAGAGAGACACAGAATCTGAAACAGGCTCCAGGCTCTGAGTTGTCAGCACAGAGCCAGATGTGGGGCTCGAACTCACAGACCGCGAGATCACGACCTGAGCGAAGTCGGCCGCTCAACTGACTGAGCCACCCAGGCGCCCCTAAATAAACGTTTTTTAAAGGGGGAGACAGAGAACTGCAGCAGGTGGCACTCACCTGTGGTGGCGTTGCAAATTGTCGCGGAGCTGGCGACTCCATTTTTCTCTGCCCACACGGCAATTTCATACAAGGACCCGGGTTGCAGTCCGTCCACCACGAAGCTGGTGTTGGTTGTGTTCTGCGTCTCACTCCCAGTCCACTGGATGCAGTAGACGTAGTTCTGAAAGTCAGGGTTATCTGGCTCCTCCCAGATCAGGGTGACGGAGCTGGTGGTCTGAGCCTCTACCTTCAAGTTCCTGACGGAATAGGGGTCTGAAAAATTAGGGAAAGGGGTCCGATGTCAGCAAGGGAGCAGATCAGGGGTACAGTCAGTGGACATTTTTAGCCCTCAAAGTGTCCAGTCCTGCCTCGACTACTGGTCCCAGGAGAGGTAAGTCGTGTGGTCTAGACCAGCGCTTGTCCAACTTCAGTGTGCGTACATAACACTGGGGATCTCGTTAAGATTCGGGTACTCGGTCGGTGGGTCTGAGATGAGACCCAGACTCTGCATCTCCAGCCGGTTCTCGGCACACGCCGGCACTGCCCACCCATGGACCGAGTTTGAGTAGCAAGGGTCTAGACCAGCAGTTTCGAACAGAATTGCTGCAAAGATGGAAATGCTGTTCCAAGGCCCAGTATAAGAGACACTATCCCAGGGAGATACGGAGGGGGACTGGGACCCTCTCATCTGAGCTCTTGAGCACATGAAACATGAAACTGGATTTTCCATTTTAGTGAACTGAATTTTAAATAGCCCCACGGGGGGGCGCCTGGGTGGCTCAGTCGGTTGAGCGGCCGACCTCAGCTCATGTCGTAATCTCGCGGTCCGTGAGTTCGAGCCCCGCGTCGGACTCTGTGCTGACAGCTCGGAGCCTGGAGCCTGTTTCGGATTCTGTGTCTCCCTCTCTCTGACCCTCCCCCGTTCATGCTCTGTCTCTCTCTGTCTCAAACATAAATAAACGTTAAAAAAGAAATTAAATAGCCCCACGGAGGTGACGGGGGGGAGGGGCTGCCATATTGGCCACAGCGTCTCTCGAGCGAGGAAACTGTCCACGTCAGGATGATGCAGCTGACGATCGGAGTTTGCATCGTCAAGACCAGACACGGTTGAGAACCAGAAGAAGAGTCAGAGGGTCAGGGTGTCCACGTTCCATGGTGCACACAGGGAGGCCAGATTTGTCGGCGATCCTGTGGGTTCTCAACCATCTCCTACCACCCTCCTCAAGCAGAACAAAAGGGAATGAAACAGGGGGCGGGACCTGAGGAACCTTCGAGGGTCTTCCTGGAGCCAGGAACCTTGTTCTTCTCTGCCCAAACAGAAAATTCACATGAGGACAGTGACTGAAGTCCTGCCCCACTCCCCACTTTGTAACTGGTGACGGTCCTGTTTTGGGTCTCACTTTTGTCACCGTCTCCATGCCACTGGACCCAGTCAGTATGTGCTCTGAGGCTCTGGGTCCTTGGGGACCTCCCGGTGCAGGGTGATAGAGCTGTTGGTCCAAGTCTCCCCCCTCAGGTTTCTCACCGGGCTGGGGGGCTGAAAGCTGGGACTGTGCGGGGCCGGGAGGGGTCCTAAGCTCTGTGTGACCGCTGAGCCCTTGCAGTGCACCTGCTCCTGCTCCAAGAATGTGCTATCGGTGCAAAATACACACTGCTTTGAGGAGCGGGTATGAAGTTAAGAAAATATCTTGGGGCGCCTGGGGGGCTCAGTCGGTTGAGCGTCTGACTTCGGCTCAGGTCATGATCTTGTGGTTTGTGAGTTTGAGCCCTGTGTCGGGCTCTGTGCTGACAGCTCAGAGCCTGGAGCCTGCTTCCGATTCTGTATCTCCCTCTCTCTCTGCCCCTCCTCAACTCGTTCTCTCTCTCTCTCTCTCTCAAAAAATAAACATTTAAAAAATGTAAACTATCTTCTGGTTCTTTTATATGTCGATTACATTTCAAAATGATAATATTGATAATATTTGGGGGCACGTGGCTGACTCAGTCAGTAGAGCACGCGACTCTTGATCTCAGGGGTGTGGGTTCGATCCCCAGGTTGCTCGTGGAGCCTGCTTTTGAAAATGGATAAGCCTGGGTGACTCAGTCAGTTAAGCATCTGACTCTTGATTTTGGCTCAGGTCATGATCTGACCTGGGCTCGGGCCCCATGTCGATCTCTGTACTGACAGTGAGGAGGCTTCTTGGGATTCTCTTTCTCTCTCTCTCTCAAAATAATTAAATAAACTTTAAAAAATGATAATATTTTGGATCTATTGAACGAAATAAATTCTCACTTTATAAATGATTTCACGTTTCATTTTACTACTTTTAAATTTCTTTGTCTTTTTAAGTAATCTCTACACCTCATGTGGGGCTCAAACCCACAACGTGGAGATCAAGAGTCACATGCTCTTGATCTGAGCCAGCCAGGCACCCATCTTTTTACTTATTTTTAAAGTGGTTGACATTGGGGCACCGGGGTGGCTCGGTCGGTTAAGCGTCCAGCTTCCGCTCACGTCGTGATCTCACGGTTCGGTTCGTGGGTGGGAGCCCGGCTTTGGGCTCTGTGCTGACAGCTCAGAGCCTGGAGCTGCTTCGGATTCTGTGTCTCCCTCTCTCTTTGCCCCTCTCTTGCTCATGCTCTGTCTCTCTCTGTCTCTCTTTCAATAAATAAACAAACATTAAAGTGCTTGATCGAAAACTTAAATTTACACATTTGGCTTCCGTTCAATTTCTCTTGGGCGACAGAACCTGCCATGTCCTTGTCGCTGCCGGCCACCTTTTGGGAAAAGCAGAAGTCGAGAACATGGCCATGACTGCCTCTCACCTGTGCTGTTTTGCAGAGTCTGCTTGGAGCTGTTGGTCTCATCCTGCTGCACCCACACGGAAGACTCATGCTGAGACCTGGGCCCAAGTCCGTCCACCGTGAAACTGGTGTCGGTCGTGCGTGGGGCCTCAGTTCCGCCATCCCGTCCGGTCCACAGGCCCCAGGGGGTGTGGTGCCTCCGGTCCAGGCCACGGGGCGTCTGCCACTGCAGGGTGATGGAGCTGGGGGTCCGGGCCTCCGCAGTCAGGTTCCTGCCGGGGCTGGGGGCTGAGGATCAGGAAGGAGGGCCCGGTGTGAGCACAGGAGGTCAGTACTGGGCCTTCCACGACGCCCAGCGCTTGCCTGAGTCCAGAAAGGACCGTTTCCTTGAGTGCCGGCCATGGATCACCGTGCCCTCCGTGAGACCACCTCCCCACACCAGAGCTCACACGGGTTTGGGTGCAACCTCTCCGTGTGGGCGGTAGACTCAGCAGGGGTCACTCACCAGCCGCCCTGGCCCCTGTCCAGCTGCACAGGCCCTGGGAGAACACAGAGGGGAGAGTCAGACTCTGAGCCTCGTCTCCCTTGACCCAGGGGAGACTGCAGGGCTGGTGGCAGGGGGGAGGGGGAAGGAGGGATCTCGCCAGCCACCATCCTGTCCTCTGCCCTAACCCAAGTCACTGGGGCCTGAGGGAGAGGAGGGACACAGCCAGCTGTCTCCTCCCTCGAGGCTCTGCTCTAACAAAGGTCACTGCAACATCCATCTGTCTTTTCTTGGTGTGTGTGTGCTGCAGCCGGGAGTGTGGCAGGGGCGGGGCTCCAGGGACCCAGGAACTAGGGTTGGCTCCACTGATAAGGCCAGGGGACAATGGTTACACATTCAGAAAAATATGGCTCTGGAAGACGAGGGGCAGGAAGTTAATCAGCAAAGTGGTAATGGGGGAAGATACTGAGGTTGGGGCCCAGGAGCCAGACACCTGGTCTGAGGGAGGAGGGGCCGGGGGCCTGGACCCCTGGGTCTGAGGGAGGAGGGGGCTGGGGGCCTGATTCCTGGGTCTGAGGGAGGAGGGGCCGGGGGTCTGGACTCCTGGGTCTGAGGGAGGAGGGGCCAGAGGCCTGGACTCCTAGGTCTGAGGGAGGAGGGGCCGGAGGCCTGGACTCCTGGGTCTGAGGGAAGAGGGGCTGGGGGCTGGACTCCTGGGTCTGAGGGAGGAGGGGCTGGAGTCTGGACTCCTGTGTCTGAGGGAGGAGGGCACTGGGAGCCTGGACCTCTGGGTCTGAGGGAGGAGGGGCTGGGGGCCAGGACTCCTGGGTCTGAGGGAGGAGGCCTGGGGCCGGGACTCCTGGGTCTGAGGGAGGAGGGGCTGGAGTCTGGACTCCTGGGTCTGAGGGAGGAGGGGCTGGAGTCTGGACTCCTGGGTCTGAGGGAGGAGGGCACTGGGAGCCTGGACCTCAGGATCTGAGGGAGGAGGGCTGGGGGTCTGGACTCCTGGGTCTGAGGGAGGAGGGCCTGGGGCTGGGACCCCTGGGTCTGAGGGAGGAGGCCTGGGGCCAGGACTCCTGGGTCTGAGGGAGGAGGGGCTGGGGACAAGGACTCCAGGGTCTGATGGAGGAGGGGGCCGGGGGCCTGCACTCCTGGGTCTGAGGGAGGAGGGGCTGGAGTCTGGACTCCTGGGTCTGAGGAAGGAGGGCACTGGGAGCCTGGACCCCAGGGTCTGAGGCAGGAGGGGGCGGCGGGCCTGATTCCTGGGTCTGAGGGAGGAGGGTCTGGAGTCTGGATTCCTGGGTCTGAGGGAGGAGGGGCTGTAGTCTGGACTCCTGGGTCTGAGGGAGGAGGGCACTGGGAGCCTGGACTTCTGGGTCTGAGGGAGGAGGGGCTGGGGGCCAGGACTCCTGGGTCTGAGGGAGGAGGCCTGGGGTTGGGACTCCTGGATCTGAGGGAGGAGGGGGCTGGGAGCAGGACTCCTGGGTCTGAGGGAGGAGGCCTGGGGCCAGGACTCCTGGGTCTGAGGGAGGAGGGGCTGGGGGTCTGGACTCCTGGGTCTGAGGGAGGAGGGGCTGGGGCCCGGACTCCTGGGTCTGAGGGAGGAGGCCTGGGGCTGGGACCCCTGGGTCTGAGGGAGGAGGGGCTGGGGCCCGGACTCCTGGGTCTGAGGGAGGAGGCCTGGGGCCCAGACTCCTGGGTCTTCGAGGGCACGCCTGAGTCTTGCCAGAAAGCACAGTTCACTCTCACTGTGGACGGCAGTATCTGAGAGCCCAGGTGTGAGGCTCGCTGACAAGCCGGAAGCCTGCTTCCTTCTCCGGGAAGCTCCTACTCCCTCAGGACCTCAGCTCCCCACCCCTGTTTGGGAGCACTCACCAGCAGCACCAGGCTCTCCCAGGCCCCGAGGCTCCCTCCGGTCCCCATCATGTCTCCAGACACTGCCGAGGGACCCAGGTGTCCCAGCCCTGACCTTCCACCTGCTGGACTTTAAACGCGAGAATTTCCCCTTTCTGAGTCTCATGGTGGTGAAGCCACGGGCCAGGGTGGGAAGGGAGGAGGAGGAAGTGGAGGCTCCCGGCCCCGCCCACCCCTCAGCCCTGGTCCTCACCTCTGCGCACTCCTGCGCTCTGGCCCCGCCTCTCCGGCCTGCCATGGGGTCTCCCCTCCCGCGTCCCCTCACACTGCCCCACCCAAATCGCCTGGGTCAGGGGCCGCTTCCCCGCCGCCGCCACTGCCATGAATGCACAGAGCAGGTCCTGAATGGTCAGGCCGGAGTCAGGCCTGGGAAAGAGACAGCTCCAGCTCCATCTGTCAAGGGGCAGAGGAGGCTGGGTCCAAAGCCCTGTCCTGCGGTGGGCTCTGTGCATTGACTCAGGCCCCGTCACCTCTCCCCGCCTCCACAGCACAGCGGCCCTCACGGTGTGAGCCCTGTTCATTATCACTCCTGTCTGCCTATCACATATGACATGGCATATGGGCCCCCTGCCCCCCCTCCCTCCCGCCAGGTGCACCCTCCTCCTGTCCTCCAGCCATCTCCCTCCTCCCCTTCCCTGGGGATGCAGTCAGAGATGGACCACACTGGGTTGGACGGGGTCAGGACTCTGTGCTATTTCCGTCACAGGCCAAACTGTTAGTATTTGCTTATTTGCCTCGCCCGCCCCGTTTGACCTTGACCAAGTGGCTTAGACTCGCAGTGACTCAGATTCCCCAGCTGTAAAAACGTGAATACAACTGCTTATCGATATACTGTGGGTAAGAAATGACTGCGTACATATAAAATCTTAGAATGATGGGCGGCCCTTTTAAAACGCTTGATAAATCATAGCCACATTTATTTATTTGTAATGGTTGTTCGTTTATTTATTTTGAGGGAGTGCAAGTGAGCAGGGGAGGGGCAGAGACGAAAATCCCAAGTAGGCTCCACACTGTCAGTGCAGAGCCCGACACAGGGCCTGAACCCACAACCGTGAGATTGTGACCTGAGCCAAGATGGAGTTAGATGCTTAACCAACTGAGCCACCCAGGTGCCCCAATTTTGGGGTCATCCCTAAGACCTCCAGAGTCCAGAAGAGCTTTTCAGGGCATTTTTGTTGACTTACTGATTCTGTTCATTCCTACCACCAACCACCTGTGGGACCTTACCAGCCTCCTCCAGAGCGAAGGACCCGAGAGCAAGAACAACATAGAAGTCACGCTATCCTTGATGACCTTGCCTCAGAAGGCACACACCATCATTTTCAGCACATCCTCCTCAGGATGCCGGTCAGCCCCTTTCATGTGGGAGCGGACCACACAAGAATGTGGAAGCTGGAAGCATGAACCCCTGGGGCCATCTTGGATGCAGGCAGCCACCCCATCACGTGCACACATAGTAACACGTTGGCCACTTCTACCACTTTCTGTAACATGAATCCCCGTTTGTCAAGCACATGGGATAAAGTGGGAAGCAGGGAGAGGCAGTTACCACTTTACTGCTGGCTCTGGGAGCATCTCGGTGCTTCGACACCATCCCTGCCCCAGAGGAGGAAGAGGGGGCTCAATTCTGTGCCCCAGGCATTTCATCAGCTTGTTTCTTGTAGGATGAGTCTTCTGTCCAAGGTGTCCCCAGGGTACCCAGGGCATTTGCACCTACCCTATTTCTAAAGACAATGATCTTGACAGTGGGGTTCAGCTACCCATTCACTCCAGGTACCTGTCTCCGTGGGGCTCTGCTCACCTGCGTTCTCCCTGTGGCAGGTCAGAGGCAGATGGGGCCCTTATTCCATCCCAGACGGTCATGACCATGGCCCGGTAGGACTGAGCTGTCCAGAGATCCCACATGGACAGGCCCCTCACACAGGAAGATCTGTCCTGGGGGGGTCTAGCCAATCTTCTTCTTCCCAAAACCAAAATACCTCTTCAGCTCTCATTTCCTGTCCTCCCCCAATGGACACGCAACAGATCCCTTCGGACTACCACTCCCATGAGCCCTTGGGCTCTCTGTATCACTGCAGCTTAGCAAGGCATGACCCCATGGCCTGATGGGATTTGGAGTCCACTCTTCCCATTGCCCCCGGACCTCACCTCAGCTCCTACCAGGTAGAAGGGGGCCCATCTCACCTGTAGATGCAAGGAGGCTCTGCGCATAACCGGTCACCTTGTTCCTGTCTGCCCACACGCTGAAGGTGTACTGAGTCCCGGGTTCCAGGGTCTGCACCTCATACCAACTGTCCGACTGGTCCTGCCTGTGTGGCTGACGTGATGTCCCTGGGGATCTTGCTGTCCCTGGAGATGTCCTCCAGGGTTTCACTGGACCCAGTACATGTAGAGCGGAGAGTGGGGGACTGTGGGGACCTTTCACCGCAGTTCCCTTGTGCAAATTCGTGACCGTGTTGGGAGCAGGCAAGTGGGGGTGCGGTTCCTGGAAACATCTCCCTCGCCTGCTCTCTGCCCCAGAGCACCTGTAGGTATCCTTACTCGGTGAAGGGGTATGTGTCTCAGCCTCCCAGGCCCCCTTCCTCCAGTGGAGTGTCCATGATGTTGGGTCTCCCACCTGTCACATCCTCCTAGCCCAGGGGACCCAGTAGGTGGAGGGTGAATGGAGTCTTTGGGGTGAGGCCAAAGTCCGGAGCTGGCTGAGTCTGGAGACCAGAAACTTGGACGTGGATACTTTAGGGTATGTCTTGTCTTCTAAAGCTCTCTCAGAGGTAGATTGGGAATGTGTGGTGATTGCCCAGCCCTGTTGCTAAGGAGAGACACCCCCTAGCAACAGGGCTCCATCCCTTGAGCTCAAATGAACTGTCCAGATCCTCGAAAAGAGGCCCAGAGCAGCCCCTTCCTACCAGCCCAGAAGTGCCAAATCCCGAACAGTTGTGTGTCTCACCTGTGGGCAGGTCAAAGACCTGGGTATCACTACAGACTCCACTCCTTCTCTCCTGGATGGTGAAGGTGTACCAGGCCCTCCTTTCCAGTCCCCCCACCATGACCCATGTCCCTGAGATGTTCAGGATCTCACTGGCGAAATCTGGCTCACAGCACTGGACCCCGTAGGTGTAGGGTGGATGGTCAGGGCCCAGAGGAGCTGTCCACATCAGGATGACAGAGCTCATGGTGTGGTCCTGTGTCCCCTGGTCTGTCACCGGATTGGGCACTAAGAGACGGGACACGGTCAGCACTTCCAAATCCCTGAGTACCTGCACCACACCGGGACAGACCTGGGTGCTGAGGACGTTCTCTAGAACGAGGGCCCAGAAGCTAGAAGCCTAGGATGGGATGTCAGTCTGGGGCCCTCCGCCCCTGATCTGTGAGTCAGGAGGCCCCACAGACCTCATTTCCTGTTCTCCTCGTTACAGCCAGATGACCACATCTCACCTGTGGACACGCTGCCTACGTGTCTCAACAAGGTCATGGGAGTGTCGGCTCCCACAGTACTCTGCTAGAGCACTGTCTTTACTAATTACCTCCTACTGTCGCCTCAAAGCTGGAAGTGGTCTTTGCTAATCCTCAACTCGGTGACTGTTGTGGGTCGAATTGTGTTGTGTCCCTCAAAAAGATATGTCCACATCCTAACCCCTGGTGCCTGTGAATGGGACCTTATTTGGAAGTAGGGTTTTCGCAGGTGTAACCAAGGTAAGATGAGTTTGCACGGATTACGACGAGCCCTAAATGCAATGACTGGTGTCCTTAGAAGGAGAGAGAAATTTGGACACAGACAGCAAGAATATACCCTGGGAGGCTGGAGGCGGAGATCGGCGTGATGTGTCTTCAGACCAAGGAAGGCCGAAGGTCACCAGCTAGAAGAGTCAAGAAAAGATTCTTGAGGCTCCAGACAGAGTGTGACCAACACCTCAACTTCAGAATTCCAGCTTCCAGAACTGTTGCTTTAAGCTCTCCGTTGGTGGCACTTTCTTATGCCAGCCCCAGGCAACAAACGCAACGACCTTACTTTTACTCTTTGGTAGCGTCATCCCTAGGGAGGGTCATTTGTCACCTGTAGACGTGCAGAGGGTCTCCCTGGAGCTGCTCACTCTGTCCTGTTCACACAAAGAATTCATACAAAGTTGGGGTTCAGGTGCATCCACAACAAGCCAGGGTCTCTGAGGTGCCGTGAGCACCACCTGGGATGCTCTCCTTAGACAACAGGGTCCCATAGAAGTGTATCTGAGGGCCTGGACCCTCAGAGACCTCCCTTCTCGGGGTGATAGAGCTGGAGTCTGAGCCTCCACCCTTAGGCTTGACTGGGATGGAGCCTGCAAAGGGGAAGATAGGCCTGTTAGGAGAAGGCATCAGACAGTCCCCTGCTCCTTCATCCACCCCAAGCTCATCCACAAATCCCAGAAAGCACAGTTCCCATCAGTTCTGCAAGGACCCCCCCGAGTCATCCGGAAGGAACCCCCAGGGGGCTCAAGGGCGTGGTAGTCCAAGCTCTTCTGTCAAGAGTGTGTGTGGAGGGGTGAGGGGTCATCAGTGAGGTTTGGGGACAACTCACCACCAACCACATGGACGTACACAGAATAGTCCACATTTTGCTTATTCATTCACGCGCTGATGGACACGTGGGCGGCTCTCGCCTCTCAGATATTGTGAACAACACCGCTTTGAACCTGGGTGTGCAAATATCCCTTCGAGACCCCGCTTTCAATTTTTTCGGGCATAGATCCAGAAGCGGGATTGCTCGATCGTATGGTGACTCTATGTTAAATTATTTTAGGAACCGCCATGCTGTCTCCCACGGTGGCTGAAGCATTCTACATTCGCACCCACGGTGCCCGGGGTATCTCCCATGCTCACCAACACTTCTGAGTTTCTTCTTTGGTGGTTGCCATCCTAACGGGCGTGAGGTGGTCTTGATTTGCATTTCCTTAGCGACCAGTGATATGAAGCATCTTTTCACGTGTGGCTCATTCACTTTTTCTCTCTGTTATTATTATTATTTTTTTTTTAATTTTTTTTTCAACGTTTATTTATTTTTGGGACAGGGAGAGACAGAGCATGAATGGGGGAGGGGCAGAGAGAGAGGGAGACACAGAATCGGAAACAGGCTCCAGGCTCCGAGCCATCAGCCCAGAGCCTGACGCGGGGCTCGAACTCCCGGACCGCGAGATCGTGACCTGGCTGAAGTCGGACGCTTAACCAACTGCGCCCCTCTCTCTGTTATTATTAACACATTCCTCTGACAGCGTAGGTCTAGCTTCTGTATACTTAACATGAGCAAGCCTCCTGTATGTGATCTGTTCCCCTTTCTGCCACCACCTCCTCACCCCTGCGAAGACCCGTGTGCCCTGCTCAATCTCTCTGACTCTGCACAGGAAGCTGCCCGCCGTGCGAACGCCCTCCTCGCCCTGCCTGAACTCTGACCCTCACGATGAACCGCCACCAGGGATGCCTGCACTGCTCAGTCCCGCCAAATGGCTTCAGGACTGAAATGTCTCAAGAGGGAAGGAAGAGGGACAGGAAGAAGAAGAAGGAAGAAAAATATCTTTGGTGGGGTGTTTTGTTGATGAACAAAGTTCTAAATTGTTTTTTAAACATTTTATTTTGAAATTATTAGAGACTCCCAGGAAGTTGCAAAAAATAGTACAAAAGGTCCTGTGTGAACTTTGTCCCACTTTCCCCAGTGGTAACATCTTACACACACATAATTCAATATCGAAAGCAGGAAACTGGGGGGCCTGGGTGGCTCAGTTGCTTAAGCGTCCGACTCTTGATTTCGGCTCAGGGTGATGATCTCACGGTTTGTGATTTCCAGCCCTGCGTTGGGCTCTGTGCTGACAGCTTGGGACTCTCTCTCTCTCTCTCAAAATAAATAAATAAAACATGGGGAAAAAAAGTAATTTCTAAAAAATAAAAAGCAGCCTGCCAGGTCGGCGAACACCTGGAGGTGTGGAGAGAAGGCACGGAACCCCCACGTCCTTTCAGCGTACCTGGCATCTCTCCCGTGAGCCATATCCCTTTGGCCCCAAATCTGTGATCTGGTAAGTGAAATGCTTTCCTGAGTTCTGGGAGCTGCTCTATTGAGCATGCTAATCAAACCCAGGGAGGGGGTCTCAGGAACCTCTGATCTATATAGCAGATGGTCAGAAGCCCAAGTGACCGCCTGGATCCGAATCGGCCTCCGGGAGGGGTGGGGCTTTCCCGTGGGGCCTGAACCTCCACTCTGGGCTGTGACTGTCTCCAGGTAGCCAGCATCAGAATGGACTTGAACTGGGGGACTCCCAGTGGGTGTCAGGGACTTTTGCTTGGTGGTGTGGGGGAACCCTTACACTGGAATTGCGTAGAATCCTAATTACTTGTCCTTGTGGAACCCTGGAAAGGACCCAAATCCCAAAGGATCGGTAACACGTTTAAAGATGAATTATGCCGGTGGTTGCCTTGGGCCGGAGGGGTTAAGTGATCGGGGAGGTGACTGCTGGAAGGCACGGGTCTCTTTCTGGGGTGATGAAGGCTCCCAAATGGATTGTGGTGATGGTTGCACAACTCTGTGAATGTACCATGAACCATTCACGTGCGCACTTTTTTTTTTCTTTTCTTCCAACGCCCAACGTGAGGCTTGAACTCATGACCCCAAGATCAAGAGTCACACACTCTGCTGACTGAGCCAGCCAGGCGCCCATAACCTGCACACTCTAAATGGGCAGTTGGATGGTATATGAAGGGCGTCTCAATAAAGCCATGACCATATTTTTTGCTGGAATTGAATAGAAACGACTTCAAACAGGACATGGTCACAGCACAGTGATGACAGTTAACGATACTGTATCATAAAAGTTCACAGTTGTTAGGAAACCAGATCTACTTGTCCCCACCGCACGCACGCATGGACATACACACTGTTGCACAGACACGATGTTGTCTGTAGGCACATTTCAATAAAAAAAAAAATTTGAAGGGGTGTCTGGGTGGCTCGGTCCTTTGGGAGCCTTTTTTTTCTTTTTTAAACGTTTATTTATTTTTGCAAGAGAGAATGCTGGTTGGGGAGGGGCAGAGAGAGAGGGAGACACGAATCTGAAGCAGGCTCCAGGCTCTGAGCTGTCAGCACAGAGCCTGATGCAGGGCTCGAGCTCACCAACCGCGAGATCATGGCCTGAGCTGAAGTCGGACACTTAACCGACTGAGCCACCCGGGTGCCCCGGAAGCCCAACTCTTGATCTCGGCTCAGGTCATGATCTCACGCAGTTTGTGAATTCGAGCCCCAAGTTGGACTCTGTCCTGACAGCACGGAGTCTGCTTGGGATTCTCTCTCTCTGCCTCGCCCCTGCTCATGCTCTCTCTCTCAAAATAAACATTTAAAACATTTTTGAAGATACTCTTTAGACAGATGGAGGCGGGAAATTTCCCTCCTCAGCACTTTCCACGGGGGCGGGAGATTGTTCTGGGGGTGCTGTGATGGGGGGAGGCAGAGAGAGGGTCTTCACTTTACCTCCGTGCTCTGACGGCTGACAGAGCACCCAGGACCTGGGCAGCGTGACCATGACCCGCAAGTAGGCCTGAGGCAAGGGCTTAAGGGAGGTACCACAGGCCCACAGGCCTCTGAGGTTGGGAAGGGCCAGTCACAGCCCCCAGATCACTCGCCCCTGACCGGGTTGCCCCCCAGCATGCATGACTTATCTGGCAGGGGGTGAGTGGGGACCCTGGCCTGAAGGTGGGGCAGATTGGAAAAATAGGGCTGGGCCCAGAGAACACAAAAATGCTGTTTCGAAGGGACACGTGCACCCCCATGTTTATAGCAGCACTATCGACAATAGCCGAAGTATGGAAAGAGCCCCAATGTCCATCGATGGATGAGTGGATGAAGAAGATGTGGTGTCTATATACAATGGATTATTACTCGGCGATCAAAAAGAATGAAGTCTTGCCATTTGCAACTACGTGGATGGAACCGGAGGGTATGATGCTTAGCGAAATATGTCAGAGAAAGACAAAAACCATAGGACTTCACTCATATGAGGACTTAAAAAAAAATTTTTTTTTCAACGTTTATTTATTTTTGGGACAGAGAGAGACAGAGCATGAACGGGCGAGGGGCAGAGAGGGAGACACAGAATGGGAAGCAGGCTCCAGGCTCTGAGCCGTCAGCCCAGAGTCCGACGCGGGGCTCGAACTCACGGACCGCGAGATCGTGACCTGGCTGAAGTCGGACGCTTAACCGACTGCGCCACCCAGGCGCCCCTCATATGAGGACTTTAAAGATACGAGCAACGAGCAAAGCGGGGAAAAAAGAGACAAATGAAGAAGCAGTCTCCTAACTACATTAAGAGAACACACTGGTGGTCACCAGGGGTGGGGGGATGGGGCAAACAGGTGACGGGGATTAACGCGTGCACCTGTGAGGAGCACCAGGTGCTGTGTGGGAGTGTGGAACGACTATGTCGCACACTGGAAACCAATACCGCACTGTAGGTAACTAACTGGAATTTAAATAGAAACTTAAGGGGCACCTGGGTGGCTCAGTCACTTGAGCGTCTGACTTCGGTTCAGGTCACGATCTCACGGTCTGTGAGTTCGAGCCCCGCGTCAGGCTCTGTGCTGACAGCTCAGAGCCTGGAGCCTGCTGCTTTGGATTCTGTGTTCCCCTGTCTCTCTGACCCTCCCCCATTCATGCTCTGTCTCTGTCTGTCTCAAAAATAAATGAACATTAAAAAAATAAAAACTTAAAATAGGGAGGGGCCCTGGGGGTCCCCCAAAGCACAGCGTGGATGTAGAAGTCTCCCCACTGCTGTAAGAGTCCCTCAACGCGCAACGGAGAGCACACGCTTCATTGACATAACACGCGTCACACGTGCAGGCGTGTTTTCTGAGCACGGACAACTTCGTGGTGCTCAGCACACGTGATCGTGACTCCCCTCTCGGTATTCACCCCAAACCCTGACCGAAGGGGCCTGCTCACCCCCGTTGAGGGAGTGCTGGCATTGGAAGTCGCTCCCTGGGGTCTCCTTCTTTGACCTCGTGAGGCCCCTCCCCCAGGTGCCACCTGGGTCTGGAACTCCCCGAGGGGCGGACCGGACGCACTTTGACCCTGGCGCACTGGGGGGATTCCACGTCTCATAAGCCCAGGCACCGGGCCCGCGTGAGGTTAGCGTCACTACATCGGACACCTAAAAATGGGCCACGCGGGCTCCACCTCACGGTGAGAGTTTTTACCCCAAGAATGATAATTTAAAAAGAAAGATTCAGTGCACAACACTGTGAATGTATTTAATGTCACTGAATCGTACATTCAAAAACGGTTAAGACGGTATGTTTGTTAACGAAAGAAAAAGAGAAAGGACCGTTTGTTGTCATTGTGGGCAGCCCTCCCCCGGTGCCCCTGCCCAAATACTAGAGATGGCGCCATCCCAGCGGGCACTTTACTTCTGGACACAAACTAGGGCCAGAGGGAAGGGGGCAGGTGGACATGGGAGGCAGGTGGCAGGCAGGCGGGTCCCCCCGACGCGGGTGTGGTTGAGGGGTCTGGCATCCAGAATCAGGCCAGAGGGAAGGCGGCAGGAACTTGGTGGTACGGGGGATTCTCAAGTGTCTCTGGGTGGACCGGCCCCTGCAGACAGGAGTCCAGGAGCCTGGCTGCTGTCCCCCAGGGGTTTCTCTGGCCAGGCCAGTCAGTCTGGAGGCCCAGGGCCTCGCGGGAGGGGAGGGGGCCGATACCTGCTCGTGCGAGCCGTGGTCAGCGGGACTTGAGCCTGGGGCTCTGGAAGGCGGACAGGGCAATGAGGAGCTGGGCGGCGTAGTAGGTGGTCATGACCACCAGGCGGGCGTGGGGCAGGGACTGCACGAAGGCGTCCCAGGCCAGCACCGAATCCGAGAGTGTGAAGAGCAGGGCCCCCCAGCGGGCGCTCCCGCCCCTGGCCAGGCCGCGCCACAGCATGGACGCCAGGACCAGGGAGTAGGTCACCAACATGGGGGCCATGCCAGGG